ACCATACCATTTTCTTTTTCCATCATAAAACTCAAACCCATTTGGTATATTTTTATAAATTAAGATAGTTTTATTGTGAAGCAATGAGGCTCTGCCACTATTTTGGTAGTTTATAATATTTTGCTTTAAACTAGATCCTATCCTAGGGTCGACTACTAGCGCGCTTGCCTCTCTCGGCTGGGTTGGCTGGTGCATCAGTGGGTTTTCGTCAAATGATATGAGATCGCCTTCCGGGGTCGGTGCTGGATTTTCTACTGGGGCTTGTTTTGCATCTGAATTGGTTTTTCAGCTGATGGTATATTTTGTGCCAGGATTAGGTTTTCAGCTAGATTTTGAATGGGTGGATTTCCTGCTGGAGCTTGGACTGGGTTTTGCATTAAACGCAAAGCTAGTTGGTATTGTCCTTTATGAAGGTTTCCATTTAAATTCATGTGTTTATTAAGATCTCGAGTTTTATCAGTTCTTATTTCTCGATCACAACCTGGACATTTAAGTATCTTAGCCATAGTAATATATTTTTTCGGTATTTTTTATTAATATACCAGATCTTTTGTTTAAATAAAAAATAATTAATTTAGTTATATAAATTTATCGAAATGCATAGTGAATATACATGTGAATATATACACAACTCTGGAGAAGTCTGTGGACGCAGATGCCGATATCGTGAAGGATGTCATGAACATTGGAGAGCAAAAAAACGTATTTTATGTATATAAAATATTAAAGAAAGAGGCATCATGGCCTTTTGCACAAGGTAAATTTCATACAATAAATTCAACTTTTGCTGAAAAATGGGGTAAATTTCCATATGGAATTTATAAAGCAACAATAGAAGGAAATCCTTCAAAGAAAAGCCTTCAATATACAAGATATTTGCGATATAATCCACATGGAATTTATACACATTATGATTTAGAATGTGCTAAAAAAAATAGATTAAAAGTATATTTAATGAATGAATCACCAAATACACTTATATATGAAAAAAATACTTGTATTAGTGGAAGAGACATGTTTGGTAAATGGGGAAATATATTATATAATATTAAGAAAGAAGGTGGAATAGCTGGA